AAGTGCTCAAAAATTTAAATTTGTGCAAGCTAGTTTTGTGTTTTGTGCATAGTCTGTATGCATAAAATGGCATTAGAATGGATTTAGTTAAGGAAAATTAACTCACCATGAAAATTAGGCATATACTGTACCCTTGCCTATAAGCCTACACTATTATGCTTGACTAATTTTATAGTAATAGCTATTATGCTTGTAAGGTTAACTATGTAAAGTAGCTCCAATGCTCCATAAAAATTTAGTCATTGTAATAATAATTATGTACATGTGAGGGAGGGACCTGCTTCCTTAGTGTGTAATCTATGTCATAATAATATTCCCCCTACAGTTCCTTGTTATCTCCCAAAAGGGTACATACTGATTGAATAGGAAGAATAGATGGTGCATAGAGAGGTTAAAACAACTTATGATTGTCATACTTAAAACTTATTATTGAGTATGCTAATTTCTTAATCACTTGTACATTTAGTGCTGACACAAATATTTCATGCTATTTAAAACTATTTTGTATACTGGTAATATATTCTAAGTTTTACATCAGAAATGATAGGAATTGATTTAAACTATGGACTAGAATTAATAATTTATCTGGCTCAATGTCTACAAAGGCGTTCAGTATCTATTTTGGGGCCTTTTTGGCCATTAATTCCATGCATTTATTAATTAATGGGTAATTTTATATCATTGCCAAGTGTTTGTTCATGATGTTGTAATACTGTATACTGAAGTAATGCACCTTTCATGTATATGTATAGTTGTTTTGACAATGCTGACTTTCACAATAGCCTTTTGTTTGTGCAACAATGTATGGGAGGAAGTCATAACAGTGTTAGGTAAATCTCCTGCCTCTAAGGCTGGGCTAGTTTTGATTATCCTGGCTTGACCTGTCAGCTAGCAACTTTACTGAAAGCAACAGCAACTATGTTTCCTGAAATAGAATCTATTTCAGGAAACAAAGTTATAGATAAAGAAGTATGATTTTTATGCCTTGCATTTTAAATTTAACTTTATGTAACCTTTGAAGTGGCATTATCTCAGAGTCAGCACTCACCTGAGTCATATGATAGTAACATCCACTCTTGATAGTAAATATGTAGTGTAATAGTACATTATGATGCATTATGCTAATGACATAAGGTGATCTTTTTACTGTTTTTCTTTCTATATTAGTTGTCTTGTCATAACATTCCAGTTCCACATTAGTTAGGGAAAGTACATATAATATAGCACTCTCTCTCTCTTTGAAAATTAAGGTACTATTCAACTTTTTTGAAAGTAACTTTGTGGTTACTTAGATCTTATGGCAACTCTGTTGCCTGAAATAGAACACTGTTCTATTTCAGGCAACAGAGTTGACAGCACATCAAAGTAACCACAAAGTTGCTTCAACAAAGCTGAATAGTGGATGGTGGGCTTTACTCTAGCTATGTTCCCTCATAGTTAACATAATGTTCATAGCTATAATTCATTTTTGGTGTTAGTTGAACACAGACATTGTTATAACAATGGTCATGGAATGTGTGTTATTTAATGCTACAAGTCAGCAAATTCTGTATTAGATTTCTGATTTAATTTATTGTCTAAAGCCCTACATCATTACTAAATTTGATCATTCAATTTTGTTTGTGCTTTGGGACTATTATCTAGTGTGTGAGTCTGGGTTGTGGTTGTCAGTTAGTCTAGTCTATTTTATTTACCTCTGGGTGGGGTTACATTACTTGTGATGCATGAACAGCTCATGTCATGTGCATAGCTCATGTCATGTGCATTGCTCATGCTTTGGTGTGTCATTGTTTGTTCTTCTTAATCTCTTATTTGGAACAAATATGATGTTCCCTTACTATATATATTGTATAACTTTATGTTTCTTTATCCCGTTAAAAAATACAATAGTTCATTTATCCAAATTAGGTCATTTTACTATATCAGTTCTTATCTGTAATAAGGTTGATACAAGATAATGAAGCATGACCTTTTTCCTTACTGTGTGTCTGAAATTTATACTTTGAAGTACATGTATAGTGTATTTCTAATAATAAGCTTTTGACAAAATATGGTATTAGTCAGGGCAGGCCCTGGCTGACTAATGTGGTCTTAAGGGAATGCATACTTGAAGCCACATGGGAAATAAAAATTATGTGAAGCCTGACTCTAATGATAGCACAGCTGCCACAGCAAGAGATCATGAGAAGTGAATAGTAAGATTATGTGCATTTCTTGGCTGAACTCCTGCTTTTATATATACTACCTGTTTGTTTGGTGCCATGCCAATAGTTCTTGTATCAATATGCCAACACTAATTACTCAGAAAGTTGCACAACAATGGTTCTTATTGAAAAATAATGATAGTGATAAGGATTCCAGTCAAAGCTACACCATAGTACCAGTTTTATTATTGTTATTAACATAAGCCACAATATTTTTTGATATTAAACATATAATTAAACATAGACAGTATTATGAACATAGTATGCTAAAATAATAATGAAATACAAAGTGGATAAGCAGGTATTACAAAATCAAGCTTCATTTACATCGGACTCAGTTGTTACAGCTGCTTAATCTTTTTTTGGGGAGGATTTAGCAAGCACCACAATAATAACTAAAACCATTGCAATAACAAGAACAAGAAAGACTGGAACTAAGACTGGAACTATCACTGGCACTGTCACTAGAAATAAAAAGGCAATAGTAATAGAATATGTTAACAGCTTACAGTTTACAGTAGAAGAAAGCGTAGAACTGGGTGAAGGACTTGAAAAGGATACAATAGAAGTAGCATGAGACAACGATCTAGTAATAGTATGTGTGGTGTATGTAGCAATAGTATTATGTGTTGTGGCTGTGTTGATGTTTAACATAATATTTTCAAGTACAACTGCTGGATTGGTACAAATATGCCCTGGTCCATCACATGCAAACAATGACCAGTTACCATTATTACTTGATGAAGTAGGTGGGATTGTACTAGCACACCATTCAAAGATTTTGTTAGGTACCGTCACATTAAATAGTAATAATTCTGATCCTCTCTCAACATGCAAGTGGATGCTTTGAATCTCACGATGATCAATCAAGTGAAACCTAAGACACAATGATGTATCATTCTGTGAGAGGTATTCTATGTCTTGAACATCGTGTGTACCTATAATTAGCTAAAAATCAAATCAATTGTCTTAAAACTCACTTGTCTCTAATGGTTGGCTTATGATTTGTCTTCCAAGATAATTAAAACACAGGATATGATTGTATTTCCTTTTAGCTGGCAAACTATTCGTAGAAATAATTTCATTTTTCGAGATTGTGACATTTCCTGAATTGTTTACACACTGTTCCTCGTTGCAACTTACTATCATTGCATCCTTCAGGGTTTCATTATTAATGGAGCATTCATTTAGATCAAGATGATCCAGCTGCAGAATAAAAACAAGTGAAGAGTACTGAAGACCCACCCCTTCACAGTATTGCCCCACCTTTAAAATATTTGAAATTATTATTAGAAATATTGCATATGGTGCAAAAATTGTACATACTCTCCATATGTTAAGTTTAACTGACTTTTGTGTGAAAAACACATGCCCAGTTTCCTTCATTATTATCACACCTGTATCCCACAGTTAGTGGTATTGTACCTTTGGGTAAATATTATTTAGTGCATAACATACCGTCACATACCATTTAATGTTTTTGAGATATTAGTGGAATTGCTGTAACCTATTTGATTTGCGGCTGTTGCGTTCACAATGACGGTGACACTTGCATTATAGCCAGAATAATTTTTCGCTGTGTAGGAGAACGAATGATAAAGATCACTTGTTATATAATTCAATCCCATGTTGTCCGTGATCCTAAAAGTTAATCCTATGCCCGGGGGTGCAAATATTGGATCCCAAGTTACAAATATGTAGTTAGCAAGCTGACAGACTTTATTATTTCTGGTGCCGTCGGGTAACTCGTATGCGTACATTGGTTCAGGGTTAGTCTGCTCATAAGTCGATCCAATTGCCACACATCTAACTGTTGTTGTGTTTAACTCCTTCGTCACAATAAAAGTAGTGTTTATCTTTCTTCCTCCGCCTGGCAAATCTTCACTGAAAATCGGTGGGTTGCTCACAAAATGCCCCGGCGGTGCGACAAATACAAAAGTCAGTGTGTAGCCATCATTGTAAGTTCCACATTCGAGAGAAACTGCTCCTCCGACAATGACACATGTCTTAGGTTCTGGTGTCACAAAGAAAAATCCTTCCACTGAGGCAAACAGCAATATAATTGATGTCAGAAACCACAAAATCTTGTCCATTATTTTGAATTTTCGATTCATTTGTGGTGAAAAATTTAAGTATCGCGTTACATAAAACGGGTTGCTTTTTGAGGGTGCGTGTCAAAACGTCAGAAGAGACTCGAATGATCTAGCTAGATCATACAGCGCTTTGCACAAAACTTGCACTAGTCTGATCATGTGACTTCATAAAAATAATTAAGTTAAGCCAACGGCTAATCATCACGTGACTATAACTGGTGGTTGCAAGTTTTCTGCAAAAGGCTGTACAGTGCTTTGCAGGTTGCTTGACCCTGCAAACTCGTTAATCACGTGACTCTCACCATACTAGTAATACATGCCACGTGAGTAGAAACTGGGTCAAGCAACCTGCAAAGCACTGTACAGTGCTTTGCAGGTTGCTTGACC